TCTCTCCTATCTTTCCGGATTGCCTCCATTATCTTTCAAATGCATAATTTTCTTTAAATGTAGAGGATTCAACTGCAACTGAAGAAGGTATACTGAAGTTATTCAATCTCCCTGTTCTTTTTCTCAGAAGACCATTGCTTAAATATTGTACACATGCCACTAGCTCTACAATTGATTGAGTGTTTTCGAAAATGTTTACATTCAATCTTGGCCTCCTCAAAAAAAAACTCTCCAAATTTTTTTTTTACAAAGTACCCTGCATGTAAAAATTCAGTACCAAGTCATGATTCATGAAAAAGAATCAGTTGCAGAATATTATGAAATATTTTGTATGGGGAATACAGAGAAAAAATTTATTCCATGTGAATTACTAGGGGAAAATCGTTTGGATATTTCCGAACGAGGTAAAACACGAGACTATTCATTTTAATAAGTCAGTGCTCTAACAAAATTGGCATAATATCTAACACATTTCTGTCACCCTACTACCCTATAGTGATCGGAGCTGTTGTAGGTATGAGGATCATTCTATTCTTGTTAGGAGACTTGGTGGTATATTTCACTAGTAAATTTGCTCATAAACTTAACAATTACGTGTAGCTGTTATATTAATGACGTAATCTTCAGAAGTTTGTACACTCTTTCAATCAGTCTGTGGTTATTGATGTTCATTATTCGTCATTTTATTTAGACGATGCAATATGGAAAGCTCACATGGGATTTGTTGTGTTGTAATTAATTACGAAAGTGTCTGGCCATGGGCAATCTATGCCCGGTGATTCCGGAAATCATTCATACTAATTGATGTCATGATTATTACATCATCACGCTTATTCATATCCTCAAGGCTGTCTATATGTGATACCTTGTTCGGACTACCTGCGTGCTCACTATGGATTTATGTTGTGCTACCGACTATGCATGTTCGAAGTTCAAAGAGAAGGTCAACAGCCTTGTACACCATTCGTTACAAGGGTCTGAAAATCAGATTATTTACTAAAAAGGTTTGCATTCCCTTAAGTCAATTCGCCAACTAAGTGTCGAAATTTTCCCACAAAAAAAAAACATTTTCAAGCCCTTTCGTTTTGAGAGAAGTTCTAAATTAGTATTATCTTTCAAATGCCGGTGGAAGTTAACCTTTTCATTTGTTGGCCTTCAAATGGGACATAGTACCTTTAATATACCAATATTTTAGGAATGAGATGAATGTCAAATTCCTACCGATGACCAGTTGCCCACCTGAGTATCTACTGAGTTGTGATGCTGCTATGAATCATCTAGAAGTGCGTGGGTGGGGTACATACAAACTTGTGTCTCATATGGGATTTCGTTGAGCCGATTGGGCATGGAGAATGCTAATTTACAGCTTCCTAATTTTATCAAGACTTGCTGAAAGATCGGGCGTACCTAGTCTTCCAGACTTGAACCTGACTTGGTCTTTTCCGTCGGAAAATTGAGATTAGCGAGTTTTCGGTCAGCGACGGACAGACCTTCTACGACGCAGAGCCCGTATATTTGGCCAAAACCCGTTCTGGATTTCAGTACCTCAGCGGTCACCCCGCTGTTACTATAGTAGCTTCTCGATTTTGCACACGAACCGCAGAATCTCCGTCCGTAATTTTCGCAAACTCCCTACTATAACCGAGGACCACATACATGTAACCAACAATGTAGGCCTACCTATACATACCTCATAGTGCAGTATGACAGTAACAAAAAAAGCTTTATAACAGTTGACTAAGTATGTATTTCGTAAAGAGGTATGTAATTTTGTGGCGTTTATGCAAGGTGACATTAGAAACTATCAAGTATTTTAATTCATGTTTCCAGGATTTTAAAATACCAGTGTACAAATAAATTTGTTATGTCGTCATCAACATCGGCGTCAACATAACACACATTTTTATTCATTTTAGACTAAGCGACGGAACCAATCTGCTGACAGTTTGCAGATCGAATTTGAGTCTGGTTAAGAAGACAATAAAGTCATTCCGTTCGACTAGTTATACTAGTTACGTCCACACACAACATATTCCGTGATTTGGCGTGATTAGGCATGATTCTTTATACGACGTATCGTTAGTATAAAGCGTCCACACACACAATTTCATCGTATAACTATCCCGAAACGGTATAACTAATCACGCCTAATCACGGAAAATGTATGATTCTTTCTTTGATTACGATCTATTATCATCCCTTAATCCACCACGGAAGATGCTCATGTGATTCAGCTAGTGCTTCCATGTTCATCTCCCATACATGCTTCTTCTATGGTTATACTAAAAATATACCTGACATATCTAAATAGATTCATGCAGAGGCCAAGGAAATTATTGAAACGCTGAGAAAACTTAATTTAATTCTAGAAGCATATTCGAGGATCCTATTTAAACAGGGCCCCGCCACACAACGGTTTGTAATCAGTTGCAAATTGGAGATAACTATTCTGATTAGCGATTGATCAGCCTTATGTGCATGCAACGACGTTCTCGATTTGACATTAGGGACTTTTAGATTCGCACGAAGACAATGGGGATCGCCACGATCGACGTCCTTTTAATGCACTGCCTTGAATGGACGTCACACGTATCAGTCCACGCAAATCTAAAAGTCCCTATTGCCATTTTGTGATTGATTGCAACTTGTGTGTTACGGGGCCCTGGGGCGTTGGTCCGTGGGACATTTGAGCCAGTAGCCCCTCCCCCATATTTACGATGTTATGAACATGGTATGCAATGTACATCTCAAATCAACGTATTTACAACCACCCCTCTCCCTTCCCGCCCCCTAAGAATGGCGGAGGGGCGGAATATCAAGTAGGCCTACGATGCTGTTCTGCATGTCAAACGAAGATTATGGAAAACATCATTATTACCACTTCGTTCGTGTCATCGTGTGATATGAAAAACTGGATGAAATTTCATGAAATAGATATTATCTTTTTTCCTATGCTTTATTTCAAACTAGGAATGCAAATCAATGAACTATAGGCCTCTATGTATTATGTGATTGGATAGATAAAATGGTGTATTGTCACTTTATTGTTTATTTTCCATCAAAATGAGCTTTTTAATATGACACATTTATAACCATTATCTGGAAACTGTGGATTATTAAAATGCGGCTGTGTCATTTTGTTTTCTTCACTTTTGAAACAATGGTTCGAAAAGTTTATAAGTGTACAAGAGTTTTTTTTTTAATGAATAAAATCAAAATGCAGTGAATGGGGTAGACCTGTTTTTACAGTCATACATCCCTAGTTATATCCGTCGATCTATTTGCGATTCTAATCAACTACATGTATATTCCATGTGGGGAGGACGTTGCCCTTTTAGCTTAGATCAACAGGGAAATTGGAACGATAATTCGTTCAAGGTACCAGTCTGTAATTATATTTTCACTCCAAAAAATACAAGACGATTCTTCACGTGAGCTTTCACTGCCAATTAACAGCTCTACTGCCAGATTGCTAAAGTTACTGTTTTTCTTTCGGTTTTTTAACTTATGTTGGAAAAGATATTTTTAAACAAAAAAATCGGAATGGTGCAGGTCACAATTCTTATTGAGGTGACACGGGTGGTTGGTGATGATGGGGGTGGGGGAGGGGGAGGGGTATTTACTAGCCCAGTTAATGCCCCCCCCCCCCCCCCACCTCACTCGCTCAAGTCGTATAAATAATAGCCTATGAAGTGGTGTTTGGGTCTCTTCCATCATCTGTCTATTTTTTTCAAAGGAAACTGAATTACAGGCGACTGTTTTTGCAACCCTCACTAAAACAGTTGTTTTGTATAACTTAAGGATGATAAATCAACTCAAAGAGTCTGTTATGATATTCTGAAACTAATCTATAATGAAAATTTAAGAAGAAAAACAGGAAAACATATGCGGATGAAAAGAAGAAATAACCTCGGTCCCATTATTTTTCACGCTATTGTGTACTAATTCCATCATGTTACGGAAGAAAGAAAATCACAAAATACGATTTTTAAAAAGAAAGAATTTTTTATGAGTCAGACATTTAAAGGCGATGATAGCTAACATTATAAGCCGCAGTATGTCTAGACAACTACATTATGTAGAGATCAACATTTTAATCTTCACATTTTTATCCATCCATCTAATAGTCAATTTCCTCCGCCGTTTCTGGAAGGAAAAAAAATGAAATACTTCTCTCCTCTTATACTGACAATCGGTCAAAGTAGAAGTCCGCTCACGACGGAGAGAAGTTGACTTTCAGGATTGTCATAGCCGTTTCCGCGAGATTAAAGTTGTTTTGCAGTGTGGTACTGAGTATCCAATTTCATGGATAGCTGTTCCGCAGTCTAGATGCAAGACTAGCTCACGATTATAGACAGTCAGTACATTCTTTTGCATAAAATAAGAAGGAAATTAGTGTAAAATTTAGTATCTTTGCTTCGTGAAGTGTAATAACAAAAATAAGTCTCATTGAGGTGTGCATAACCGTACATGTGCCAATCACTTTCTTCCCTGACCGTGGCTTCTAAACGTTCCCATTTCCAAAACGTGTGATGCACCTAACTTATACACAGACCTGCCTATCCGATGGAAAAGAGAGTTAAATTTTCATTGAATCTTTCTCTGTGAATTTGATTACAATAATCGGTGGAACCACTAACTTTATGCATATGCCTATTCTCTGGAACTGAGACGATTTAATTACCATTTGGTATCATAGTAATCATACTTTAATGTGTCAACTTGTTATAACCGATTTCAATGCAGTATAACATATCAAATGATGCTGTACGAATCATCAAATTCTGTATAACAATTAACACAAATGTTTAAGATTAAGTTTAACGTTGTTTTTGATAATTGTTATTATATTGCATATTAACTTTAGATTTCAGAATTTTGATTGTTTTTTATATCTTTTTTTAGAGATGGTTATTGTGATATCATGTTTGTGGATTCTGCATCGGTTGAACTCTCGCCTAATTTTTGTTTTTATTTCTTTTTTTCTTGTTGACATCTAGGTTGGCGACACGGTTGACATGGTGTGCACGTCAGAGGGCGGTAATCCTATTCCTGACCTGACCTGGTTTCGAGGCGAGGAGGAGCTGGAGGAGAACGAGGGTCTCCGATACGCAGTCCACCGCCAGATCCTACGACCACAAGACACCAACATCCAGTATACGTGCTTGATGCGAGGTCCTATGACCACCACGAGAAAGACCTGTTCCATTCGACCGATGGATGTACCCCCTGAAGTCCAGATAGAGCCAGCGGTCAACTCTGTCAAGGTCGGAGCAAAGGCCACATTCACCTGTGCTCTGATGAGTACGAACAATATAGGTGTGAGGGGTTACTCCTGGAACGTGGAACCATCGGTAACGGACATGCACCAAAGCTCTCCTGGCAGGATGCAGCTGATGCATAGTGACAGGGTTCTGGAGATACAGGACATTCGCGAGGAGGATGCAAACACCTTGGTGACTTGCCAGGCGCAGACCACCAATGGAGAGTTGCTGACGGGTACAGCCACATTGGTCATTCTGGTTGAGCCGACGGGGATGACCACCGATAGTCCAGACATGACGACGGTTGAGTCTCACGGCGGTGATGCAATGGGCACGGATGAGACCGACTGGCAGAGGGCAATGAGGCCGACACAAGAAGGCACAGAGTTTCCAAACATTGATGGCTACAACGCTAACGACGCTGGCGTCACTGTTGGTATGAAACCCAAATTCCCAGCATTCCTTACCGGAAGGACATTCATCATGACTTCCGCTGCAGCAGGAGCATTCATCCTCATCCTCATCATCGTCATCATCGTCATCGTCAAAGTTGTGCGACGACGGAACGGCAAAAGAATCCCGATCACGACGCCCATCACGGTGATGGAGCATGGAGGCAGTGATGCCTATGCGACCATCCTTGAGATGAAACGCAAGACGGGGAGCACCTACAAAGGATCATCCACACTGCCAATCCTCAAGTCCGAACGCAAGATCGGTCTTCCAGACATGATGCGAGGCGGCAGTAGCCTCTCCCTGGCAGCACGCAGCGCAACAGCAAGGGGGCAGACCACCGAACGCTCACCACTCTATGCCAAACCTGAGAAAATCCGAAGCAGCAAACATGGACTCTTTGGGGATTCGAAGAAAAATAGTCTGGTAGAATCGGCGGAGGAACCAGGTGTCACGGAATCCTTCAAAGATGGTGATCAGGAGAAGAAGGCAAAGGAGACTTCGAATCTTAATGCTGAGGGCCTAATCTATGCCGATCTTGTTCTAGAGGATAAAGAGAAATCAAAAAGAATTTCGACGAAAAAGGGAACACAGTATGCCAGCATTGTACCGTCGGGGAAACCGTGAGATAGGAGTTACATCTTTAGATTTAATCCCGGATTATCGTTTGATGTACTGGTTGATTTTATTTTAAAAGCTTATGATGTCAGCTTTGAACTTTAATTTCGACATCATGAGCCTTGTTATATTGGTCGGTAAATTTTATAAAAGGACTTTCTTTTCAGATTCCAATATGCGCAACTGAAAACTTTCATAATCCACATAAAGATGATTCCATGTTCATGACTATTCATCTCAAATCAGTTTCTAGAAACTCCCCGGTAGTCCTTATATCAATGGGAACTTTTACATTGATTCATAGACAACCAATCTCAGGATAAACTTATAATGCTCCAATCACATTATAAAATGCACCAAAATAAATAAAGTTACTTTTAGGCCGTAATCTCAGCGCTGCTATAATAATTTTTTCGCCAGTTTCGTTGCATCCGTACTTTTCTTGTAAATAGCTCTGCAGTATGGTTATCCCAAGTACATGTATATTTTTGTAATAATATTGTAAATAGTATTCATTTTTGTAAGAACTAAATGCTGGTTCATTTGGAAACCAAGTACTCGTTGATGCTGGGGTTTGTTAACGATCCCCAATGACGGATAATAAGATAATATAAACAGCGCCAACTTACGTTTGGTTATAGATGTAGTTATAAATTTCTTGTCTGAAACCTCTTTCCAAATATCTATGTCTATGTATGTCTGGCTGGCTGTCTATGTCTGCCTCTTCCACTTCATTCTCTCTCTCTCTCTCTCTCTCTCTCTCTCTCTTTCTATCTCTCTGTCTGTCTCTCTTACTATATCCTCCACCCCCTCCTTCACTCATGTATCTCTCCTCCTTCTCTTCTTCTTCTTCGTCTTCTTTCTTTCTTTTTTCCCCCAGCTCCTTTTCTTTTCTTCCTCCCCAATCATCTCTCTCTCTCTCTCTTTCTCTCTCCCTTTGTCTCTCTCTCTCTCTGTCTCTCTCTCTCCCTCTGTCTGTCTCTCTCTTCTCTATCTCCCTCTCTCTCTCTCTCTCTCTCTCTCTCTCTCCCTCTGTCTGTTTCTCTCTCTCTCTCTCTCTCTCTCTCTCTCTCTCTCTCTATCTTTCTCTCATTATATCAAAAATAACTTATATCAATGTCATGATGAATTCAATGTTTATTTTTGTTTCAATTATTTTTAGCCATTACTGTCCTCATTGCATTTGATTCTATCCTAGTATTTTCCAAATGAGCTAAACAGAATCTCCATTTCTGAAATTGCAAAGTTGCATTAGACAAGTTTAAATACATTGAAAATATATTTATGTACACCCTGATATTCGTTGCATTCTACAATTAAGAGACAAATAGAATCATAGAATTAGTGAAACTGTTCAGTCATTAAGCATAACAAGGATACCAGCATTTCAACAAACACATGTTATGAACATGTTGAACTATATTATGCAATTATAATGACGTAAATCTCAACTGGTATGATGAAATATGTTTTTGACGCGATTTTGCGTTAACTCTTTTGATATATTTAATTTGTTTCTGTTATATCAATATTATTGTGCACGTTATTAAACACGTGATCTATACTTTATAATCTCAATCATTTCAGCTGTACCATGAAAATAAATATATACATGCTGTACTTAAAAGTGTTATTGCATCTCCATTATGCCATGATGTCTCTGTGTTGATTGCTTACTATACAATTTGACGGCTGCTCTAAATTAGTAAATGGTAATATTATTCATTTTTCCAAATTCGTGTAGATTTGAAGGGGAATTTGTTGTCCAGAGAAATCTCCTCGTCCTATAATTTGATTGCTGAGTCTATTTTTTTGCTTCTCTCTTCCTCTCCTAATTCTCTTCCTTTCTCTCCCTCTCTTCCTCTCCTTCTATTCCTTTCTCTCCCTCTCTCCATATTTCTCCCTCTTTCTCTCTCTCTCTCTCTCTCTCTCTCTCTCTTTCTCTCACTCACTATATCCTTGAATTGTCACATTATTCCTCCTGTGATTTATATCATTCTCTCCCCCTTGTTCCTCTCTCTGTTGTCTTTCTCCCCCCCCCCCCTCCCCCCTCTCTCTGCTCTTTCCCTCCCTCACAGTCTCTGTATCTCTCTCTCTCTCTCTCTCTCTCTCTCTCTCTTTCTCTCACTCACTATATCCTGTTCACTTCTCTTCTTATTTCTTCTCTCTCCCTTCATCCCTTCATTTCTTCTGATTACCTGTATTTCTTCTGATTACCTGTATTTCTCGAGAAAAGGAAGTCCGCAATATCCTGAAATCAGGATAGATTACATCGGAAAATCCGCTCCTTTCAACCACCACCTTATTTCCGTTCCCATGAGAGGGTCCCGTGAACAATGAGATATCACACCACTTTGTGTTTTTTCTGAAATCAATTCTTGATTACAAAGTAATTATCACTCAAATTAAACTAAAATTTTCCTTCTCGAGTTAAACTCCCATCGGCTGGCTACAAATAACAAAGTCCGAGAATGTGAACAATATCACTTTTCAATCACTATTTCGAGCACATAATTTTGAAATTGTTCATGATCATCACACAACATCTCTAATTGGCTATGAACATTATGAACTGATAATTTGACAATTGATGGAAATGAGTTTAATAGTCAGGTTTGTGTCACCACCTGTTATAAAATCGTTACCTCGTGTGTACTACATGTACATGTACATCCTTTGTTTTGAGTGCAAGACATTGTGTAACATTATTATGCATCGTGCATTGTGACCCCCAAAGCGACTGTGGCATACCAATATTTGTACCATTTTGTTGATCAAAACAGACATAGAGTTAAAACTGTGATAAACTTTTGAAAATAAAAAATAACCGCACTGATTTCTGACATATAAATTCGAATGTTGGGAAGCAATGCCCATACAACGTGGATGATGTTACAGTTTTAATTGAATTCAAGCTATATTTCATAATAAAATAATTATATCTTCACTGCTTATGAACTTAAGCGCATTGCAGTAGTGTGATTGCGAAAGAGGGTTAAAGAGAAAGAGATAGATGGGGGATTACGAAGGAGAGACGGAGAGAAAGAAGAAGAATAAGAAGAGAGAGAGAGAGAGAGGGGGGATAGTCGGGTGGGAGGGAAGGGGAGAGACAGAGAGAAAAAGAGAGATAAGAAGTGAGAAAGTATAAAAGGGGAGATAGAATGAGGCGGTGTAATGGGAGAGAGCAAGAGAAAGAGAGAGAAAAAAAAGTGGAGGGAGAGATGGGATAGTGGGGTGGGAGGGAAGGGGAGAGACAGATAGAAAAGAGAGCTGTGAAGTGAGAAAGTGTAGCTGGGGGGATAGAGAACGAGGAGGTGAAATAGGGAGAGAGAGAGAGAGAGAGAAGAGAGAGTGGGAAGAGAGAGGGGAGACAGAGAAAGGGATGATCGAGAGAGGGGCGGAGTGGTGAGGGGAGTATAAAAAAGAGGGAGAAACAAAGAGAGAGAGAGAGAGAGAGAGAGAGAGAGAGAGAGAGAGATAGAGAGAGAGAAAGAAGGAGAGACAGAGGCATAGCAAGAGATAGGATTGGAGGGGCACGGCAACAGGAAATTAACAAGAAAGGGCATGATATTGTAAATATTTTATTTCCTGTGAAAGAAAACAACACAATTGTCGACACATACATTCATGAATGCCACAAGATGATTTATGGCTAAAGTGTGCGCTCAAGATAGAGATGGCCGCAATCTATTTTCTCTGTACCCATCTAATTGTAAGTGTAAGTGTAAACAGCTGTAAACAATGGATTACAATATAATCAAATCTGTATACAGTTGGAAATATAAGTCGATCATACCGGTAGCGAAAAAGGAATTTTCATATTGCTTGCGAGATGTGTGTGTGCGTGTGTGTGTGTGTGTGTGTATGCGTGTGTGATAAGTGTTCAGATGATTTATTGCCTTTGTTGAATGTGACACAGGAGTCTCTCTGACGAAATAACGCGATCCTATGGTGTAAATTCACAAATAAAATAGGGATAATTAAGGGCATATTTTCCAGGGGCTCATACCCGATTATCCATTTTTGCCTAGTTATTTATCTATAAATTTACAGCTTATGATATTGAAATTATTTATAGACAATACAAGTTGTACATTTCAAATAGATCACCTCACACTATCCGAATAATGAGATGACGGATACCTAAATAAAATTATGCTCGTGGCCGTATCCCCTCAGAACCCCCCCCCCCCCCCCCCCCCTCCACCAACCCCCGTCTTTTACCCCTATGAAATTCATAATGTTAAACACTGATATAATACTAAGTGAAACAAAGTAAACATAAACATGAACAACAATTGTAAATAACACGACTAGTCTGGTTTCCAGATGGGACTCCCGACGCTCTTGACGTAAGTTTTATTATGGGTTGCAATGAATATGGGATATACATTGAGTAATGAGTAATTAGTATTTAGTGATTAGTAATTAGTTATTAATATGTTTATGGCCCTCCAACTGAGAGCCATAGAGGCATTAGCATTAAATAGTCTGCGTACTGCACACGCAAAATGTATTGTTTTAGGTTTCACTAGGAGGAAGTTCAAATTGCCTATTTAGCGCATCGAAACAAGATCAGTCGAGAAAAAAGTTTAACAAAGGCATGAGAAATATTATAATCAGCATGAAATCGTTATGATGGGGAAGGAGGGTGGGTAGGTTACTATACAGGGGGTGAGACGATGCGAGTCTTTTTTGAAGGATTGTGAGAGGAAAATCTTTGAATCGAGAGGTATGTCAGGAAACGGTGATCGTTATCACCCGTTGCCGGATTGCGGCGCAAGGAAAATACAAATTATCTCAACACATAAATAATACAAGATATAATTCATATATGATCATGCGAGCTTGTATGGGGGGTTCTTAAAGGGAGAGGGAGTGACAGAGAGAGAATGGGCACCATTCCCTTTCAACAAGTTCAACAGACTCACTTTTAGAAACTTTCCTGCATCAAAAGTGTCTGTTATAAAAACTGAATACTTCTTCAATGACTAACATTTGGCATTGTAATTAGCTTAAAAATAAGAATTCCTCTTCAGCATTCATAATATTGCCTGCACTTAAAAGACAATATTAGCCTGGAGCGGAGGTGTTTTTGCCTGCGTCTGAATGATATTACAATAACCAATATTTTTTTTTTTTGTGGGGGGGGGGGGGGGGGTAGCAGGCTCCTGCAT